ATAAAACCTGAATTGTTGTAGATGAGCTGACCTTTAGCATGGTAGTCAGTCCTCGGCAATTGGAAGATACAAAGGGTACATTTTTGAAGTGTTAGTCCTAAAAAAGATAAAGAAAAACCGATAGGGTAATATATTTTGTGATACTTAACTGGACACTGGTGGAATTCCAATCCTTTGTCTACATATATAAGTTGTTAAAGGAGGTTTCTTTTATTAACGATACATGACCTTGAATATGTGATTTACTGGTTTACCCTTTCTTCACCATTCATTTGGATATTTTTGTGTAAAATACAAAGAATAAAAAAAAATTGGGATACAAGTTATCTTGTCTATTACTTTGCCCAAAGTGGCAATTCACAATATGTATTTTGAAGATCCTCTTGTAGGTTGAAATGACACACTCTTATTTCAGATTTAAGAGATGGGCACAGGTGTCTTAGAAGATTGCAGGAGTGCTAAATAAATATAAGGCTGTTTTGGTGTGCAGGGTTCGGCTCTGCCGCAGCAGACAGATGCTTTTGTAAGATCAATGGCTATACTATAAAATTCTTGAACTTGTTTTCTATTTTCATATAGTATGGCTTACGTCTATGGCCTGAAGATATACTGCAATTTTGCAGTCTCACATTTGATGAAATAACACTGAAATAGTTCTATTAAGTTTTGTTAAAATTTTTTTGGAATGTTAGAATCATACAATATTTTAAGATGACATTACAAGCATGCAAGAAATTTCAAATCAGCCCACCCATCACTGAACACACTTTAATGGGCTTTGAGCAAACATCAGAATAAAATTCATAATCAAGGAAATTTTCAGTGAATTTTATTTTGAAATTCTGATTATTTTAATAGTGAAACTAAAATGGAAGACATTTAAAAAATAAATAAATGTGTAAATTCTCTGTGATCATAAATTTGCTGGGTGAAGCCAAGTTCTGAATACTTAGATAAATATTTATGTTTAATATTATACTAGTTACATACATTTAAAAATATGTAGTCGGTTTTCTTCCCTGCAGGCTTCTTCCTTGATATAGAGTGCTATAAAAATATCATAAAATTTCTTCATAGTGTTATTATATTTCATAAATTACTTTTTCTTTTTATCTTTTACTCTTAATTACATCCCATTAATTAATAATTTGAGTGCAGTGAGGCTGCCTTACTAATAACATTACTAGCGTTAGCTGGGTTATTTACAAGATAATGTTAATCTTGTTCACTTTTTTTACTTTTAAATCAATCAAAAATGTGTTAATAATTTATAAAAATACAAGAAAAACATAATATTATTCCACATATTATCTTTCTCCAAGTTTCAAGTGGCTTCATTGCAGATCGGTGCATTTTAAAAATGTGCATAAATGAAATAATTAATGCTACTGAATTCTTCTTTTTCTCTCCTAATATGTGTCGTCTTATGGTCTGGTAGGAAAATTGAATTATATAAAGAAAGAGAAGAGGAGAGTTGGGCTGTTTCATGATATAATGAGTTCTCTGTCTTAGAAAAACTAAACAGAAGCTTGATGACTTCCCAAGGACACTTTGGCAGAAAAGAGTGCTGATGAAGAAGAGAGGGTATGTGTCTAATCCCATCAATTCTAAATTTCTATGATCATTTTACATTCTACAGTTCCCCTGGGATAATCGTTATCTCATACTGATGATCTATCAGAAAAGCTAAACACTCAGAGTGAAAGCGAGGGACTGTGTTAGAGGAACTTCCTGGGGTAGGCTGTTTCCAGGGCAGGACTTCTCAGGTTTTCTGGCTAGGGCCCTTTGTTTCCACTTTCCCTGGCTTGCTCGGTGCCTTTGTCTCCATTTTCCTGCCTCTGGCAGGCCAGGTAGCGGCTTTGTCTCTGATTTTCTCCTCTCTGGCTCTTGGAGGTGGGGGCTCTGTGACTCAGGGTTGTAAAACAGTAGCCAATCAGGTAAAGGATCAGGGATCAATTAATACAGAGGAAGTTTGGAAGAACCCCTCTCATTGGACAAGAATAAGAATGGGGACGGAATAACTCAGGGGTAAAAGCTCTAGCTGCCCCAACCTGGACGGCACCCTCTCTTTGGGTCCCCTTCCATGACAGTGTGGAAGCTGTCTTTTCCCTCTGCCTAATAAATTGCCCAATCACACACTCTTTGAGTCCACGAGTTCTATTTGAGCTGTAACACTCACTGTGCTGCTGAGACCCCTTTCCCCATTCTTCTCAGTTAGGAAGGCCAAGTGCCTAAGTTTGGGCAATAACTACTCTACTTCCCTGATGGTCTAGCGGTTCACATTCCTGCTTTTCAAACCGAGGCAGCCCAGGTTCCACTCCTGGAGTGGGAGCTAGGGAATCCAGCTACAGCTACTCCGGTTACAAAAGGAAATAGGATGCTTTGGCATGCCACAGGTCAATGTGGGGTTCTTTAAGGTGCACTAACTTGTTTGGATGCGTTCATCTACCAGTCACAAAATACCAGGAAAAAATATGTGCACTAAAGAGAAGGGAAAATCATAAGTATAGAAGTCTTTTCCAGGTCAGTTTAGCAGCTCAAGAACTCACTGAGATCCAGGCACCTTCCGGCTTTCTGCTTGTGATCTACAGTGCATCATCACTATGCCTTCCTGGTCAGAAGATGGCTTCAGCAGCTGCCAAGCCTCCATCCTCAGGCTACAATGTGTCAAACATAGGAAGAAAGGTCGGAGGTTGGGATGGGGTGGAGTAGGGGACTGGCAAAGCTTTTGTTCTAGCAGATATCTTTTATCTGGGAAAAAAATGCTTTTGGACGCCCTCCAGTAGACTTCCTCTTGGGTCGGTACTAGCTTCCAGGAAAAAAGAAAATTAAATATATTAAAATTCTAGCATCTTTATTCTCAGAACTTTAGGGCTTTGATATTGAAAAAGAAAGGGCTAGAAACAGTTGTCAGGTGAGGGACAAAGGTTTCTTCAACAACTGCTGCTCTCACTGAATGGATTCTCAGCATTGATTCATAATCAGTTCAGAAACTGCTTGCTTCCATCAGTGGAGTTGAAAACATTCCTCCTTTTATTGTTGCCAAAAAAATAGATCCAAGATCAGGAACATAAAGATTAGAGAGCAACTGTCAGAGCAAACACACCAGAAGTAATCTTGGAGTAACTAATTGGTGACATGATCTTTTGTTTATGTAGTTTCCAGATAAATAACGTCCCTGTCAGAATCATGTTTCCATCTGTTCTGATGATTTCCCACTTACTTGTCAGCTTTTGGGTGACAGCGGTCCTCTCTGACTAATAGCTGCTGCTTCATGGTTAGCCTCTCCTTCTGAGCTATGACTCCCCTCATCACTTTTCAAGTCTCTGCCCGTCCTTTTCTATTTTATTTCCTCCTTGGTATGGTTTGGCTCTGTGTCCCCACCCAAATCTCATGTTGAATTATGATCCCCGAGGTTGGAGGAGGGGCCTGGTGGGAGGATTGGATCATGGGGCAGCACTTCCTTCTTGCTGTTTTTGTGGTAGTGAACGAGTTCTCACAAGATCTGGTTGTTTAAAAGCGTGTAGCACTCCCTCCTTGGCTCTCTCTCCTGCCAGCTATGTGAGGAAGTGCTTGCTTCCCCTTCACCTTCTGCCATGATTGTAAGTTTCCTGAGGCCTCCTCAGAAGCAGAAGCCTGTACAGCCTGCATAACTGTGAGCTGATCAGCCTCTTTTCTTTATAAGTTACCTAGTCTCAGGTAAGACTTTATAGCAGTGTGGAAACAGAATAATACATTCTCTCTGTGGATTAGTCAAAAAGCAGTATTCCAAAAACAGGAACCAGAGGGAATGAGAGAGAAGGAGTAGAAGGGCAAGAAGAGAGTGAAGATTGGTTGTTGCTGGGATTATGGAGCCAGGGGCCAGGGCCTTTATCTTTCTTACTCTCTGGGAGCATGAGACAGCTGAACACCCTGGGGTGAATCAGGAGAAGGCTGGTGTCAACAGGTGAGGTGGGGCTGCCAGATGCCAACATATTAACTGGGACAAAAATAAAAGGGGAAAATAAAGAAGGGGAGAGAGTGCAATTACAGCTACTGATAGCTGAATGAGGTAGGGGGTTACCTGCCTGGAGACAAGCAAGCTTGGTATGTTCCTAGGATTAGGAGAACTGATAAGCATAGGGAAGAAGTGGATGGGGACGGGTGACACATTTAGGTGAGTGTGACAAATAGGGCTTCACTGTAGCTCCCTGGGATATGTGTTTTTCTAACTACTAACTGTGTTTTGGCAGATTTTTAGACAACCCCCCTCCTGACCTTTTCCAACTCACAGGATGGTCACCACCCACCAGGAAATAAGTTGTTAAAAAGACCAGTGCTCTTTAAAAATTGACCTGGACAACGCGCTGTGTAGCACCTGTATTTGACAATTGCCTCAGCAGGCTCTTCATTTACTACCTGAGCACGGTCCCTGTTTCTCTTCCTGGGCAGATTCTGGGGATTTCTTATGGAAGATCATGGAATCAGTTCACTTCAGTTTGGTTGCAAAGCTGGCTCTCCCGTCCTGATATTTGGAATAAATAGCAGAATTTGGGAGCAGAATCTCAGCTCTGTGCACAGTGCCTGATCAAAGAAAAAAATGTTCTGGAATTACAGTGTATGTTTGGTTTTTGAGAGAAACCATATGTGCTGGAATTTATATTATTAAATCATGTTACTGCTTATTATTGCTGATGTTTACCAATCAAAATGAAACTATTTATTTTAATAATCAATACTGCCATAACAGCACAGATGGGCTTAAAACAACCCCTGGATGCTCCCTTCATGAATAGTAGGGTCAAGATTCTGGTCCTAGGTCAATGGCACCTCTTAAACAATATAATATTTGTAGTGATAAATAATATCTTGCTGGATTTTTTTGATTGAAGTTCTGGTTTAAAAATAAATAATAGGATCTTTACTTTCCATGGGTGCTAAGAGAGGTTAGTTTTGGAGCAATATATCTCATTCACCAATAACTTTATAAAATCTCTATACAGTTTCAGACACTTGTAAGAGAAATTAGATGCTGCACTAGATGCTTTAACATCATGATAGGTTTTAATCCTTAATTTCTTTGAATTTCATGATCTTTGACTAAAAGTTGTTAAATAATAACAAATGTAACATTGTCTCATGACATATACTACAATTTGTACAATTGGTATAAACATAAGCCAATGTTTGGTTTTGGGAAGATTTTGTACAAACATAGCCAATGTTTGGTCTGGAAAGCCAATTTGTACAAACATAAACCACTCACACAACTGTTCTCCCATCCCAAAATATTCAGAACCCGAGGGAAGGGAATAAGGCGCAGTAGAAAGAATACAACCTTGAATCACAGAGGGACCCTGTGACAATATGATCTCTGCCTCTGCCACTTTCTTGCTCTGTGAATTGAGAGAGATTATTTCAATTCTCTCAGTGTCACTTTCTTAATCCTTTCCTTATTCAATCTTTTTATTTGCCTTGCTCAGGTGACACAAAAGAAGACCCAGAAGTACCATGGGCAAATCATGGACCAAGAACTGGAATGGATATCTAGTACACTTCCCGAACTAAAGACTGCAGACAGAGAAAGGGAAGACAGGGGTTTAACCAGCAATTCAAAGTGAGGTGATCAGCCTTCCGTTACAGAGTTAACTGTGTGTGAAAGGTAAGGAGACCGTCCTACTGCCCCCTTTGCCTCATTTACACAAATAAGTTTAGTTCACTTCTTTACACTTAAAGGTCTACTTCACCAAGGGGCATTTTGACTTTAAACTAGATGAAGGGATTTCTTATTCCTGATCTCTTTTTCTTGTGCTCTGCCTCTGCCGCTCTTTTGCTTCAGCTCATTTTTTAGTCTGTTCTTTTTTTCCTTTGAAGGTTTCTTAGTAAAAGAGTGTTTGAATTTTAGCTATTTTCTCCTCCAACATGATTCAGTTATATTTTGTCCTCTGTCCAGGAGGCTTTAGACACTGTCTGTAACTGCTGCTGCTCCCGACACAGCTCCACAGCCGCTGCTAACAAAGTCAGGAGACACGGGAGCAGAACTGGCCATCCAAAAGCAGCAGCAGAAGCACGTTTCTGCACCTAGAGTCTTTATTTTTTTATCCAAGATTATGCTAATTGTTCGAATGGTTTAAATTGAAATCAGTAATACTGTGTTTCTCAGTTTGTGAGTGCATGTGTGTGTGTTTCATGTATACTATGTCAGGAAAGTCGGTGGACACTAAGTCATGATGGAATGTGGAAAAAGGGATAGTGACAATGGAAATGGCACTATTTCAAATTGTGTTATGATCCTTGCCTTTCTACATCCTTTGCAAAGGAAGGGAGGGATTTGCTCTCACAGGGCCATTTGTGTCCATCCGTGTGGGAGTGTGTATAAATGTGAGGGTGGCAGAGGCTGGGCGTGAGTATACACTGAAGCAGGGTGCAAAATAGCTCGAGCTCAATGAAGGAAACTTGGGATATTTGTAGTTTAAACTATAAAAAATCAAGAGTCCAGAATCCACCTTCAACTTTGAATATGCTTTTAATACAAAGAAGAAAAAGAAATGCGATCAAATGTCATCTATAGCTCAGATCTCATTTCTAAAAATCACATTTCATAGTTTTTTGTTTTCCTGAATGTATACAATGTATTTGGCTCTTTTTAAGTACTAATGGGTTTTTAAAGAGTTGCTTATATTATCTTTGAAACCCCACTTAGGTGAAGGGTATAATGCAGAAGGAATCTGTTATGCTTTGGGGTTGCTGAAATCAGCAAAGCAAGGTTTTTAAAATGGAGTCTTTATTAAAACAATGAGAACAAAACCTTTGAGGTCCTTTTATATGTCTTGGCCTTTCACTGACTAGCACCCATGTTTTGTGTTCCTGATGCATGGTAACTGTCATGAATAACAGATCTTGGGAGACTCTGTTACAGCCATGGAGAGTAACTAACATTGGGATAGTCCACTCACCATAAACAGCTGTCAAGCCGGGCACAATGTCTGAGACAACTATTTTAGACATTCCACCAGAGGCAACACAGGGCCGTGGTCTTAGAAAGGAAACACACAAAGCAAGCTCTGTGATCACCATGACTTTCTCTACCTGGAGGCAGTTTCCAGATTGCCAAGCAGGAAGGTTGATAGCTTTCCAGATTGCCAAGCAGGGTTTGATAGCCTTGCTGAATTTAGGAGGCAGAGATTGCAGTTCAGGGCTGTTGGGTGGGTTGGAATTTTTAAGGCCAAGGACTACAGAGAAAGGAACAACGCAAAAATAAATCTTCCTAGAAATTGTTTTTAAGGTTTTCATTACCAAGCTGTGAATGCACAGTGAAAGATGCAGTGAGGCTGGCGAGCTGTGAAAGTAAATATGGATTCTAGAGGATGCACATTTCTTTTTTTTTTTTCCCATTTATTTATTTTATTGCATTTTAGGTTTTGGGGTACATGTGAAGAACATGCAAAATTGTTGCATAGGTACACACATGGCAGTGTGATTTGCTGCCTTCCTCCCCATCACCTACAACTGGCATTTCTCCCCTTGCTATCTCTCCCCAGCTCACCACCCCCCACCGTCCCTCCCCTATTTCCCCCCAACTGACCCCAGTGTGTAGTGCTCCCCTCCCTGTGTCCATGTGTTCTCATTGTTCAACACCCGCCTATGAGTGAGAACATGCGGTGTTCGATCTTCTGCTCTTCTGTCAGTTGCCAATCCGAAGGATGCACATTTCTAAAGGGGTGGGATCATGACCAGCTGAAGTTTTGCTAAACACAGTAGACATTCATTTAATTCCTAAAAGTTTAGATGTTGGGAATAGGGCTACTTTAGACTTAGAATAAGGAATACTATAAACTTATTTTAACAATCAAGTGGATACACTATTAGTTTCCTGCCAGAATAACACTCAATTTGCTTTAAATAAATATTTTTAAACAATTCTGACTCTCAAACAACATGGTACCCATAATGTCTAGCATAAAATAAAATATTACAAAGTGGCATAGAAACAAGAAATTGGGGAAATAAAACATAACATAGACAGACACAGAGATAAAAGATATGTTGGAATTAGCAAAGAATTTAAAATAGCAATTTTATTATGTTTAGGAATTATAAAAAGATGAACATGAAAAATATACAATAGAGAAGTAAAATCTTTAAGAAATGGAAATTCTAGAACAGAAAAATGCAATAACTGAAATGAAAAATTGGTAATTTATGCATCATAAATATTAAAAATTTCTACTTATCAAAAACCTAAGTGGAAGAAAATATTTGTGCATATATATATGATTACGGACTTAGGCCAGATTATGTAAAGAACTTTCATAAGTCAATTTCAAAAACCCCAAGCAACACTATTTTTAATAAATGGATGGAAGTCTTGAACAGGTACTTACAAAGGGAGATAAATGTCACATAAAAGCAAGTTTAACATCTCTAGTCATTAGGCTTATGAAAATTGAAACCACAATGAGATATTAGTATATAACGAGGTAAATTTTAAAATGCTGAAAAATGATATTTAGATATTGACATGTATTTATAACAATCAGAAACCTCATAAGTTGGAGGAAGTATGAAATTGATACATCCAATTTGGAAATCCATTTGGAAGTATCTTTTAAAGTTACAATTACATACCCTGTGATTCAGCAATTCCACTCCTAGGTATTTATCCAAATAAAATAAAATAAAAGCATACATTGAAAAAAATACTTGTTCAATAATGTTCATAGAAGTTTCATTTATAATAACCTGAAATTCAAAGCAATTCAAATGTTCATTGATGAGTGAATGCCTAATCAATTTGAATATAGGCAATTAAATACCACTCAACAGTAAAATAAAAGAACTACTGTACAGGTAAATGTGTGAATTACTTTGAAAACCATTATGCTGAATGAGAAAAGTCAATCGCAAAAGTGTTTATTTACACTTTTCAGTATAATTTTTGAGAAAACAAAACTGATCTGTGATAACAGAAATCAGAACAGTGGTTGCCTCCTGTGGAAAGAGGTTTGGTAGGGGAACAGAATGAATGGATAGGAGTTTCTGGGATGATGGAAATGTTCCTTATTATAATAGATTTGTGGGTTACACAAGTGAGTGTATCCACTGCTCAAAACGCATCAAATTGTTACATATAAGGTCTGTGTGCGTTTTATTGTATAGAAATAATACCTCAATTTTAAATTGAGGTACATGTGGCATCATTCAATTCTTTATATTTTCTTTGTGATTTCAGATAAATTTTGCAGTTATCTATTTGTGCCTGTGGTTTGAATCTGTAAGCTAAGTAGGATATTTTAATTTTTGTGAGTTTCTCTTAACAAGATGTCACTATACAAATGATTTGTTTAAAGTCTCGAGTATGTCTGATAGATATACAAACACATTCTACTGGCCCACCTAATTATAAGATAGTAAACAGCTGTCTCACAACATAAATTTAGATGACAATGTATTATAACCCTAGCATAAGCTCAAAGAAAATAGTCTTACACTCTAAAAAATGGTCGGAATCTACTGGGTTGCATTAGAAAATGTGCACTCACATATATAGTCACTCAACAAGGGCACTACAAAATTGTCAAGGGTCACAGTTCTGGCCTTTTCATTTCTGATTACTTTAGCAATTTTTACACATGACTTCTGCTTCAACAAATGCTCCCACCCTTTTCTTGGGTGGGGAGAGGAAGGTACAGTTTTAAAAGACCAATCTGACCTAAGAATTTTGCCAGCAAGGAGAAAAGAGAAAGAAACTAAGAAAGAGACTGTTAACAAAAAATTTTTTAAGTGTACAGTAAAAGGACAACAACAAAAAAAATGAACTGGAAGTACAGGTTGGTGCTGCAAGGCAGGGATGGCTGACACATAACCCCTTCCATGACATGTCCAACTAGACAAATGTGTTTCATTGCTGCACCATTGCTGGGATAGTAGTTTTGCCCGCTCTTTAGTCTCCAAGTGTTTCCATTATAGCACCCCTGCTTTTAGGAGTTAATAGCTAGGCTATAATAATTTGCTTCAGGCTGGCATACCAGGTCTCAGTCAGGGAGCGCATTTACTATAATAGGATATAGTCTATTTCAGGTGTTTTTAGTGTGTGTGTCTGTGTGCGCGCACGTGCTCATATAATCTAAAAATGTTTGCTGTTGAAAAAACTTAAATTTGATAACAGATTGATTTCTAGTCTACCCCAAATACTAGAAAAAAAATCAAGTCACTGAAAAATGTATTTTTGGATAAGAAATGTGTTAATTCACATTCATTTCCATGAGCTTCAGTGCCTAATGGGTGTTTGATAACTGTTCACTGACAAGAGTAAAAACAACAATTCTTTTCATTGCGCATGGCGTTGTCTTCACCAGCCCTTTATAAATGTGCTCTGTAAATGTGATTTACTCTTAAAAAGAATAAGTTAAAATAACTGTAATACTATAAACAATCTTTATCGCATACCTAATATCTCTTTTAATCTCGGGAAATAGAATTTCATGAGTTTCATGGAGTTACTGTTTGTTTTAAGGGATCTACCTATTTTGGATGTCAGCTACTTGTTTACGTATTTTTATAGGCATTTTATTGAGTACTGATTACTTTTGGAACTCAATGATACCCAGAAAATCACATTGTCATCAAACGCTGATCCTGTGTGCGAATGGTTGTGTAACC